AATGAGAATGATGACTACCTTATATGCCATCCTAGAACTCTCATCCAATGGCTGATGGGGGCAGATGCAGACACCCACAGCTATGAACCGAATTGAACTTCTGGAACCCAGATGCAAAGAAGAGTGATGACCAAAGGAATCAAGACCAGGCTGGCGAAACTCACAGAGGCAGCTGACCTAAACAAGGGGGAACACATGGACCCCAGACTGATGACTGAGGGGCCAGCATGGGACTGATCCAGACATCTCTACCACAGAACCTGGGTGACAGAGAGGAGGCCTTGGCAATCTGTGGGACCTTGGAGAGTGGAGCAGTATTTATTCGTGGCATACAGAAGGACTCTGGGAACCCATACCATGTGGAGGGATGCTCTCTCAGCCTGGACACATGGGGGAGGGCCTAGGCCTTTCCCTGGATTATGTGACAGACTCTGAAAATCCCTCATGGAAGCCCTTGGCCTCCCTAGGGAGCAGAGGGGGGATGGAGTGGGTTGGAGAGTTGGGAGGGGTGGGGGTGGGGGAGGAGGGGAGGGAGAGAGGACTGAGAGTAACATGTATAAAAGTTAAATAAAAAATATGAAAAATGAACCATTAGTAAATGAAAAAAATGTATGTGTGTGTGTGTGTGTGTGTGTGTGTGTATGTGTGTGTAAGTGCCATAGAATAAGAGCCAAGTGCAGAGGAAATCTTGTGGGAGTCTGATTCTAACCTTCCACCATGTGGGTCCATGTGGGTTGAATCATCCAGCTTGACACTTTTACCCACTGGCCCATCTGCATGGCCTACATTTTTACTCTGAATCCCTACAGCATTAAGTCAAGGCAGCCACATAAACCAGGACTGGAGTCTATGAGAAAGAAACAGAGACAGAAATTTGATAAATAAAAGACCCAGAGACAGATACTGGGGTTCAAACTTCAAGCTAAAGATCAGAAAAGCAAAGCATCCAAGTCACTAGCTCTCATCTCTACCTCAGCTCAGACCAAAGGGGTGATCTGCAAACTACTCCAGACTTCACTGCTCCCCAGATTCACAAAGACTGTATGTTCTCCTCAATGTGGCTAGAGACTCTCAATCCTTCCTATCCTCAGTGTGAGTGGAAAATGAATGCCAGCTCAGAGACCCTAATCCTGTCTTAAATACCTCTCATGAGTCCTGGTATTAAAGGTGTGAGCTCTGTTACTCATTTAAACTGATTCAATATCATGGATCCCTGGGTAGCCTTCAACTCAGAGAGATCCATCTGCCTTTGTCTCCTGAGTCCTGGGATTGAAGGTGTATACCACCTCCTCCTAGCTTTGGGCTGCTGAGATTAAAGGTATGCATCACTACTGCCTTATTTCTATAGCTTGAGGCTGGCTTTGCTTTCTGAATCCTCAGGCAAGCTTTAGTAAATCATAAATAATATATCATCACAATTATGACCTTCTCTTAGATGTCTCACCTTTTGAATTCAGAAATCATACACAGACTGAGCAGCACTATAGATCTCTGATATGGGATCTTCTTTTTTCCTTTTGCTTTCTGATATTGTGGGTCAAAGTGAGAGTTTTAGGCCTATATCTATATCTAATTTGGAGCATGAAGATATTAAACAATTATATATACTAGCTAATTGATGCTGCCTATGGTCGTCAAACTAGCATTATAGAGGAAAGACTGTGGACAACACAATATGGGAATTCCTTTTCAACTCTTACCAGCAGTAAATGATTCTCTCCTGCTCCCATGTCCCACCTGTGATCTCTCTTCCATGAAAATGCTATTTCTGAGTGAAAGAACTTAGCCCCACTATGTTTTGCAGATTCTGTCATGAGCTTGGCCTTGGTTTTACGTCAGAAACTCACAGGCTCACATAGGCCAGAGCTGCTCTCCATGACTTGCTGGTCAATAAACACTTGCTGCTTTAAGAGTGGCAATACAAATACTAATTAAACTCATAGTTTTACAGTTAGAAAAACCTGGATCCAAGCTCCAATTCTACCTGCTAGCTATTCATCATAGACAGTGTCTTTAATCTTTTGGTGCCTGACATTTGAAGATAATTATCATACCTTTATTATGGGTTTGTAATGAGGATTAAAGGATATGATGAACACCATGTAATGTATAGAAAATATCCAAATAAGAATGAGCTGTAATTCACAGTTCTTTTGTGAGTAGCAGATTATACATGGTCAAAATAAAAACCACTGAGTGATAGATGTCCTTCTGTGTGCTGTGAATATGGTTCTCTTATTTGTTTATGAATAAAGCTGTTTCAGGCAATGAACAGGTAGGATTTAGGCAGGTGTTAAATCCAAACAGGGATATAGACATGTAGGAGGCAGAGTCAAGGAGATGCCATGTAGGTAGGATGCCTGGGAATTCTCCAGTAATACAAGACCTTGAGGAGATACGCAGATTAATAGAAATGGGTTAATAATTAAGAGAGAGCCAGCCAATAAGAAGCCTAATCCATCAGCCAAACAGTGTATGATTTTTTTTGGTTTTTCGAGACAGGATTTCTCTTTATTGTTTTGGAGGCTGTCCTGGAACTTGCTCTATAGAACACTCACTCTATAGACCAGGCTGGCTTTGAACTCACAGAGATCCGCCTGCCTCTACCTCCCAAGTGCTGGGATTAAAGGCGTGCGCCACCAACACCCAGCGAGTGTATAATTATTATAAGCCTGTGTGTGTTTATTTGGAACTAAACAGCTTAGGGACCAGGCGGGACAAATACTGAGAAAATATACTGTTCAAAAAAGGTAGGTGTGTGTGTGTAAGTGCTTGCATCTATGTGTCTGTGTGTTAAGTTTTAGGTGATGGAGATATGTCTCAATGGTTAGGAACACCATCTCCTGAGTAAATTGGGAGCATGGGAGGGAGGGGACATGGAAGGGAGAGGGAAGAAGAAAAAGGAAGTGGGGTGGAGAACATGAGGGAATGGGAAGGTGAATTTGGGGGAAGGACAGAGAAAGAACAAGGGACGAAATATCTTGATAGAAGGAACCATTTTGAGATTAGTGAGAAACCTGGCACTAGGGAAATTACCAAGAATATACAAGGATGACACCAGAAACTTTCTAAGCAATAGTGGAGAGGGGAACGAATTGGCCTTCCCCTGTAACCAGATTGATGGCTATCATAGTTGTCAAACCTTTATCCAGTAACTGATGAAAACAGATGCAGAGATCCACAACTAACCACTAGTTGAAGCTCCTGGAGTCCAGTCAAAGAGAGGGAAGAAAAACAATATGAGCAAAGGAGTAAGGACCATGATGTAGAAACCCACAGAAACAACCGACCCAAGTTACTGGGAGCTCACTGACTCCAGACTGACAGCTGGGGAGCCTGCATAGGACTGAACTAGATTCCCTGAATGCAGGTGATACTGGGTGGATTGGGCAGTTTATGAGGCCACTGGCAGTGGGTCCAGGATCTATCCCTAATACATGACCTGGATTTTTGGAGCCCCTTTCTTATGGAGAGATATCTTGCTCAGAGACTGGATAGCCCAGAGATTAAAGGTAGAAACATACATGACTCACAAGAAGAGAAGGAGAAGGACAGGGAGAGGGACAGGGAGAGGGGCAGGGACAGGGAGAGCCTGGATGGTCAGGAACCAGAGAGTGGATAGCCCAGAGACCAAGGGTAGAACCATAGATGACTGACAAGAAGAAGGAGAAAAAGGAGGAGGAGGAGGAGGAGGAGGAGGAGGAGGAGGAGGAGGAGGAGGAGGAGGAGGAGAAGGAGAAGGAGAAGAAGAAGAAGAAGAAGAAGAAGAAGAAGAAGAAGAAGAAGAAGAAGAAGAAGAAGAAGAAGAAGAAGCAATGAAATGATTCCTAATGATATTCTGCTATATTCATAGATGGGTGCCTTGTCTAGTTGCCATCAGAGAGGCTTCTGTGGTAATATATTGGAGTGGGTGCAGAGACTCACAGTGGTATGAGAGTCTTAATTGGAGGTCTCCATTGGGTCCCTCCCCTTAAAGATTGGGAAAACCCTTGGAAGACAGAAGGGAATATTTTAAGATTCAGAGGGGATAGAGTATACCAGGAGAACATGGCCCACTGAATCAACTAAGCAGGGCTCATATAGACTCACAAGGACTTAAATAACAAGCCTGGGGTCTGCAGGGGTCTGCACAAGGTCTTCTGTATATATGTTATGGCTGCTAGTTGGTGTTCCTGTGGGACTACTAACAGTGGGAGCATGTGTATCTCTGACTCTTTTGCCTTCTCTTGGGACTCTACTCTCCCTATTGAGTTGTTTTGTCCAGCATCAATACGAGGGCTTTCACCTAGTCTTTCCTTATCTTGTTTTGTTCTGTTGTCTCTTGGAGACCTGCTCTTTTCTGACAAGGAAACAGTGGGACTGAATCTGGGGAAGAGGGGAGGTAGGAGGTGCTAGGGCAGTTTGGAAAGAGAAAACTGTGGTCAGGATGTATTGTATGAGAGAAGAATTTGTTTTCAATGATAATAATAATCACTCTAAAATTTCTGTACACTTCTCAGCAAGTAAATAATTGAATGAATAGATCTAAACCATTCATTTACCCAATCAGTTGGGGAAGATTTTATATATGTGTATATATATATATATATGTATATATATATATATAGAGAGAGAGAGAATAGTAAGATCACAGAAACAATTTTTAGCAGTTTTCAATCTCTGTTAACAAAAAATACTGCAAGGAAAGTTATCATGGTAAAAAGCTTACAAGTACCTCCCCCATAGCAGAGGTTTCACTGCCCAAACTTCTATTGCACATTGTATCTACTGTATATAGACATAAGAGAGGGGGGAAACAAGGAGTCTTTAAAGAGCTAGTCAGAGCTATGCTGTGCTCCAAATGGGAGGAACAGAGTAGAAGTATCCTCCTTTTTGCTGGCCCTGAAAGAATGCTTACCTAGGAGGATGCATCTTAGTGACTCCAGAGACTCCATGCAAAGTTCTATACTGAAAGCACCACCACATTGTTAATAATATATGCAATTTGCAGAAGACTGCTGTTTTCAATATGACACTTTATTATGACATGTGTTTTCACAACAGTAAAAGTAATTAAATACAGAAAACTCTAGCACTTAATCCTATATAAAACTAAAAATTTCAGTGACATTTACAGGGAATTTATTCTAATAAATTCTAAACAGAAAACATGGGCATTAAATAATTATACTGAATGAAAAGAAAGTAGCTAGGCAGTCGTGATGCTTGCCTTTAATCCCAGCACTCGGGAGGCAGAGACAGGTGGATCTCTGTGAGTTCAAGGTCATTCTGGTCTGCAGAGCAAGTTCCAGGACAGACAGATACACAGAGAAATCCTGTCTTGAAAACAAAAACAAAAAAGAAGAGAGAGGAGGGAGGGAGGGAGGAAGGGAGGAAGGAAGGAAGGAAGGAAGGAAGGAAGAAGGAACTTTGACAGATTTATTTGGATACATTCCAGGGTAACTATGAATTTCCACCATCATAAAAACTTATATTCTCAGAAAATATCACAATTTCATGGAAGATCTAGCAAAGCTTTCACAGTTACCACAAACAAACACATGCCATTTTTAATTGATTACTCTAGTTTGATTATCGGAAATAAGAAAACTTCTGAACAAATATGGAAGAGAAACAGGGAAATCTGGTCCTGTAGCAAGCACTTGAAATTTTATTTTAACAAACATTAGCACTTTGGCCATGGAGGTTGGATTGAGTGTAATGGATTATTGCCCCTGGAAAAGTCTATCAGAGAGCTAATTTACTTTTTAACAAAACCCTCTTTCTACTGATCATTTTCAATTTTGTGATTTAGTACAGAGGGTCACTTTACTTTTGGACAATTACTCACCAAATGGCCTAAAGGAAAAACACACAATAGGGACACAGACTTCTCTTATCAAACACTGTGATTTCTTCCTTTCTCCTTTCTTCTCTATTGTGGGTTATTGTCAGGACATCTGAATGTTGTAACTGGTTGCATCACCAATTTGCTGAATACCAGAAAAAGCTTCTCCTGGTGATTGAATGAGTAGATGAAATGAGTGGTGTCGGTGACATCAACTCCAGTAAGTCTAAATGAGGGGACATTCAGAATTTCTTGATCTCATAACCAACTTGATAGAGCAAGAGGCTCTCTAGTCACAAACACATGTGCCAATATTGTATAGAACTATCCTCTGAGCCAAACTGCCACCATCTTCTTGAGTTCAGTTGTGCCTTTTTGCAAAAAAAGGATCAACATAGCTGAGCTCGTTGACTGTTGACATTCTCTCATAGAAGAAGGGAATATAGAGGGCTATGGGACCCTCACTTGAGTTTCCAGCTACACCTCCAAACCTGTTACATGCAATTCTGCCCTAATTTCACATGGCCTAAATGTTTTAGAGAGGGAGCTGCAGTATATAGGGGAGGATTAGGAGAAAGGAACTCTATCCTTACAGTCTCGCTGGGTACAGACCTTATGGTGTGGCTGCTTTAAGTTCACCCATACTACTGCCTATAAACCCTCACTCACTTCTCTGTAAATAAGTCTAATAAAGACATTTTTTCTCAGTGCTAACTTTGGTGGAATTAAATTTTGGTTTGTGGTTGAGACCTTATGAGAGAGGTTTGGATGTTGCCTAGTTCCCCAAGAGAGAAAATTCTTATAACATCCATGTTTGATCTTAAGGCCGTTGACTAATCTTGGATGAGGTCACCCTCGCATTATAGTAAGTAATTGCTTCACTTAAGGAAGGCTCATTTAAATATGTTTATTGTTTTGAAATATGACATCATTGTACAGCCCAGGCTGGCCTCAATTTTAAAATCCTCCTATCTTAGCCTCCTAAGTTTTGAAAGATGAGTGCCACTGTGTCCAATTGATTTACGTGTTAATATCTTCTTTATTTATAACATTATGAGGAGGGGAAGGAGACGGAGCTGGTATTGACATGTGAAGCAAGCTTGTTTCTAATTTAAATTTAAAAAAATGAAAAAAGAAACCAAAAAATAACATTATTGCAAAATATAGACTTGTGTTTGACTAGGTGATGGGCACTGCATCCTAGAGAGGCTGGCACATAAAATTACTCACTACAATGTTCAAATACAGCCTTCCACTGCTGGTCATACAGGTCACTGAGATGGGTTTACCTTGGTATAGCTGACACTGGGTTTCCTTTTATACTTTACCTGCTTCCAAATCCTCCCAGATCTTTTAAGAGTGGTATCTTTTGTTTGGTCTGTTCCTCTGCCTTCTAAGCGCTCTCCAGATATCTTGAGTCTAAGCTGCTCAACCGGCAACATAAGGCACCAAACAAAAAGAAAACAGAAGCCCTGTATTCTAGCGCAGGAAGTTCCTCCCCATCTTTCCAGCTTCCTCATGCATCAGCTCATCTAGCTCCCCAAAGCACTTGGCTTATGGGCTATCTCCCAATCTTATATAGATGCATGTCAAGCTATTTGACTTATTCTTACCTGTGTTTCTCTCTGTATGGACACAGATTCTGATCTTTGCTGGCAGCCAACACTGGGGAAAGGTTCCATGTCTGTGAACTCAACTCATCTGGGAAGGAAATTCAAATAATTTGCATAATGCATTGCACTTCTAACAATATTTTCACATTCACTACCCACTAAGTAGCAATCCTAGATACCACATGTGAGGTTGTAGACACAGATGTATATGGGAGTATTAAGTCTCAGAAAGAATCCTTCCTCAGTACAAGGACACATAACTAGCTGCTACACATTCCTTTGATATGGATCTTGGAATCTGAGTTATTTCATTAGTCTTTTGACATATAGTGCAATACTACAGACCTGGCTACTGTTGCTGCTCCTGCTGCTGCTACTACAACTACTACCACCAATGGTACCTTATATTCATATATTATTTTATTTTATTTCATAAAAAGTGTCAATGTGAGATGGTATTTTTCATATAACTATTTTTTGTTGGCTTAAAAATTCCCAGCATCAGCTGGGTGGTGGTGTTGCACACTTTTAATCCAAGCACTCAGGAGGCAGAGGCAGGAGGATCTCTGTGAGTTCAAGGCCAGCCTGGTCTACAGAGCATGTGCCAGTACAGGCTCCAAACTACACAGAGAAACCCTGTCTCAAAAAACAAACAAAATACCCAGCAGCACCCTTCTCCCTACAGTCAGCTGTAGAAATGTCACAATTCTCCCTCATCCTAACTTGAACTTAGCCTACAAAGTAAATCAGCATGGTCTTGACACCTTTGATCATCACTTCTCCTTCTCTACAACTGGATTCCAGGAGTGTGTCTCAGTGCTTAGCTGTGGGTGCCTGCTTCTGCTTCCATCAGCTACTGGATGAAGGCTCTAGGATAGATGGTATTTAAGGTAGTCATCAAGCTCATTATAGGGGAAGATCATTTAAGGTAGCCTCTCCATTACTGCTTAGTTTCTTAGTTGGTTCTAGACAAACAAACCATTGTAAGAGCTGAGGATAAGTAAAGACTACAAAAACTGCTGACCACAGCCACAAACGAGTTCCCCAAGGCCATGAAGACATGTACTTTTATTTTGGTATATACACACACTCACTCAGAAGGACCAAAAAGAAAGTGGTCACAGCAACTGTTTTTGAAAAAAGGCAATAGCAGCTAGGAAAGACAGGCTTACATTTTACTGAATATAAATTTTTACTTGCATTTTACCTTGTTCTTACCTTACAACCAAAACAGCATATCAAATGAATTCACACACCTTGGTAAAATATTAAAGGGAGCAGCACAAGAGTCTACAGGGCCAGAAAACCAGCAAGGCTATCCTAAGCAAACAAGGCAAGGCAATAATCAGTGTCTCTAACTTTGACCTTGAGCCTGGTACCTGTATTTGATCCTTTGCCACATTACTGTGAATTAATCCTAAGAAATGCCAGCCTTGATGTATGTAAGTATAGGCCAGAATATCTGACTAGACAGAAAGTGAGAAGGCAGTCCTGTTGTGGAATATTTATTTAACTATGCAAAGATGTGCTGCATTTGCTTATATTGCAGGATATTTAACCATGTAAGGATGTGCTGTATTTGTTTAATTATGTAAAAGTGTGATGCTGTCTTACCTAGCTTGCCTAAGGTACCTAATTGGTCTAATAAAAAGCTGAGTGGCCAATAGCGAGGAAGAAGGTATAGGCAGAACTGCTGGACAGGGAGAGTAAATAGGAGGAAGAATTTAGTTTCAAGGGATAAGCGAGAAATGAAAGGAGATGACAGGGAGATGACAGGGGTCAGTCCGACAGACACAGAGGAAGCACGAAAGTAGGACATACAGAATGAAAGAAAAATAAAAGTCCCAAGGCAAAACATAGATGAAAAGAAACAGGTTAAATTAAGTTAAAAGAGCTAGTAGGACAAGCCCAAGCTAAGGTAAACCATTCACAATAAGTCTCCATGTCTTTATTTGGGACCTGGTTGGTGACCCAAAGAAAAGTCTAACTCCACAGTCCTTTAGTATTTCTGACAGAGGGACTCTTCCTTGATGTACTGTAATCATGTCCTTGTCAAAGGTTTGATAAAATTACCTAAAACTCTATGCCAACGATGGTTGTTTAAATAACAATGATCACCAGGGCACAGTGGCACATGCTTTTAATCTCGCATTCATGAGGTAGAGGTAGACAAATAATCTCTGTGACTTTGAGGCCAGCCTTATCTATATAGTGTGTTCCAGGCCAGCCATGGCTGAATATTGAGTAAGCCTGTCCCTACGAATAAAAAAGCCTTAGAAAGTAAATGACAGAATCTGAAGAGTCAAGCAAGCTGTCCCACCAGCCAGTGTTGCTGTTCCTCGGGGATCCATGAGTCTTGCCTGCAGCCAGTGATTTTGCAAATGTGATCATTGAAGGAGTTCTTCAAGGAATATTTTACTCTCATCTGCAACCCAGGTAGAAACCCTACGTGGCTGGATGAAGCTGAATCAAGTATCAGTGCCAATGGCAAGAAAATCAAGGTTCAGCCAACTTATCTGAAACTCCATGACACCATAGCGCTAGCTAGCGAAAAATTCACAGTGCTAGCTTTCTTCAGAACAGGGACGTTTCTATTAGAATGCTTTTAAAATTAGAAACTGAACCAGAGCAGCATCAGTTTAAGGCCAATTGTGTGAGTAAAATGGAGATTCCAACATGGGAAGTCAGGACCAAGTGGAGCACTAAGAGCACCGACTGTCACCAGAACCAGCCTCTGCTTCAGGTGCACCATTTGCTAATTGGAAATCAGACCCTGAGTCATGCTGACACTGAGCAACTTTGGTGGTCTTTTCTACAGACCTTGACAACACCCATCTTTATGCCATGAGATTTTTCTCAGCAGGGGATACTGGATTCAGGGTTGCTGAAAACACAAGCGGGTACTGGGACCCACTGTGCTAAGTATCAGGAAAAAGCTACACTAGAAACTGAGTTATACTGACAGTAGAACACATTGAAGAATAGAATGCATTTTAGTTACCATTACGGTGGAGTTGCCTCTCACCTGCAGGTTGACCTCCAGAATCAGTGCTTGAGATGAAATAGGGTGTTGGCACTATCTGTGAGAGTCCCCTAGAAAGACATTATTCCAGAACTGTGGCATCTCATGTTTTCCTCTAGTGTTAGAAAGTATGAGTGTTCCTCTGAAGACCAGCTGACACGAAGTCCCAGAGCCATTTCCCATAGAAGTACACATTTGACCACTAGAGTTACACTGCAAATTTCTTATTCCAGTGGGAGTCAGATGTTAGTTGACAGTGGTTGCAACAGGAGCAGATGGAATGTTTGTGTCTGCGTTTCATCCACGGTGTACATTTTCAGGATATTGCCACATATTTTATATGGTTGTTCTTTTTAAAAAATATGTCAACTTATAATCACTTTAATTATTTGACTAGTAATCAAATAATTTTTCTTTGTTGTTGAATTTTTATTTAAATTAGAAACAACCTTACTTCACATGTCACTCCCAGCTCCTCTCCCTCCCCTCCTTAGCCACCTCCCACCAACTACTCCAATACCCCCACCCAATTCCCACTCCAATCTCCAGGGAGGGTGGCGTCCTCCATGAGGGATCTCCAAAGTCTGTCTATCATTCATGGCAGGACTTGGGCCCTCCCCCATGTGTCCAGGATGAGAGAGTGTCCCTCCAGAAAAAAAAATGGAATCTTGAAATTTTCAGGCAAATGGATGGCACTAGAAGAAACCATCCTGAGTGAGGTAACCCAGTCACAAAAAGACAAACATGGCATGTACTCACTCACATATAGATTTTAGACATGAAGCAGTGGATTACCAGCCAACAATCCCACTGCCAGAGAGTCTGGGAAACAAGGAGTACCCTAAGAGAGATATGCATGGTACCCTGGAGAAAGAGAATGGGACAGAATCTTCTCAGAGGGTTGGGAGCATGGGGGAGGAGAGAGGGAGCAGGGACAAAGATAGAGGGAGAAGAGGAGAGGAAAGGAGAGGAGGACATGCTGGAGCAGGAAGATTGAGTCAGGGGAAGAATACAGAGCAGGGTGAGAGATACCATAATAGAGGGAGTCATTATTGGCTTAAGGAGAGACCTGGCACTAGTGAGATTTCCAGAGATCTACAAGGATGACACCAACTAGAAATCTAAACAATAGTGGGGAGGCTTCCTTTAAAGCCCTTCACCAATAATGAGATTGATGACTACCTTATTTCCATCCCGGAGCCTTCCTTTAGTGGCTGATGGAAAAAGAGGCAGACACCCACAGCTAACCACTGAACTGAACTCCTGGAACCCACTGACATGTAGGGAGGGAGGAGTGATGAGCAAAGGGGTTATGACTTGGCAGGTGAAACCCACAGAAACAGCTGACCTGAACAAGGGTGAGCTCATGGACCCCCCCAGACTGATGGCTGAGAGGCCAACATGGGACTGATCCAGAGCCCCTGAACGTGGGTGTCAGTGAGGAGACCTCAGCAATCTTTAGGGCCTCGGGTACTAGATCGGTATTTAGCCCCGGTGTACAAATGGACATTGGGAGCCCATCCCACAATGAGGGATGTTCTCTCATCCTGGACACATGGGGAAGGGCCTAGGCCCTGCATGGGATGAAAATTACAGACTCTGGAGATCCCCCATGGAGGGCCTCACCCTCCCTGGGGAGCGGAGTGGGCGGGGGGTTGGGGGGCTGGTGTATGTGTGTGGGGAGGAGGGGAGGGAGAGGGTTCTGGGGTTGACATGTGAAGCAAGCTTGTTTCTAACTTAAATTTACAAAAAGTATTCCCTGTTGTTGAGACAATCATCTGATTATAGCCATTTCCATCCGTTGGTCTTAATTTTATTCTCAAGTGATGTACAGAACCAAGTTGTTCTGCGCCATACATGTTAGTCTTTAAAATCTTTGTAAGTTGCAATAACTGTACATAGACTCCTCTCTTACCCGTGTGAATTATTTCCAGTTATTTTCACTAATTCCTATATGATTGACTTACAAAGCCTTCAACATTTAGATCATTTCCTGAATAGGATCTGGCTCGTGTAGGTGATTTGTATTGCAGGTACTATACTTCCACAAGGTGGTTTGAGGCCAC